GAGAGAGAGAGAGAGAGAGGAGTAGCACGAGAATTTCCTGGAAAAACAAAATGGTGACCCGCATAGTTCGGCTCGATTCGAAAAGTTAAATAGCCGTAGCATCTTTGTAGATGACCAAATTAATTTACTTTTGTGTTTTAACATCATTTTTGAACTTTGTTATGGTCAATTTGATCGTCCACACCGATAGTATTCAGAAAGAGACAGAGAGAGAGAGGAGAGGGGAAGAGTAGATCTTGCGAGAACTTCCGGACAAAACAAAATGGCGACCCGCGTAGTTCGGCTCGATTCGAAAAGTTAAATAGCCAGCATCTTTATAGACGATCAAATTAGCTTACTTTTGTGCTATAACGTAACTTTTTCCTTGCTATCTGTTTGATCATCCACACCGATAGAAAGTATTCCGAAAGTAGGAAAAACAGGTCTTGTTTCACACTGGGTGAGAATAGCCAACGCTGGCAAGTCTCACCCGGGGTGAGAGGTCGATCGTATTTTTATTCTCACCACGGGTGAGGATAGCCACTTCCTAATCATAAAGCTAAGAACAAATTTTTCTTCAAGTCTTCAGTAAATGCTCCAATTTCTCCAGTCTGTACTGATGTAGAATCTAGATCTAGAGACACACATGAGGCTGACACTGGCCAGAGGTGATCTGGATTCTAGATCGAGAGTCTAGATCTTCTAGCCTAGTTACCTAGTATCTCTAGATCTAGATCTAGATATCTAAATCTAGAGCAGCTAGAGTCTAGATCTAGACTCTAGTAGACTCTTAGTCTTACTCTTACTACTAGATCTAGAATCTATAGCTAGTCTAGATCTAATCTAGATTCTAGATCTAGATATATATCTAGATCACTAGATCTACTCATAGACAGAAAAAAATGGCCACCTTTATTTATCATCAGGAATGGGTGTAAACGTGGGAAAATGAACGATTGCCCGAGGCAAGCGTCAGGCACGGTGTTCTGAATTTTGAGTTGGTGACACACAGGACCGTGAATTGGACAACCCTGCAGTCTGCAAACTCAAGAGTGTGTGTAACTACGAGAAAATAGACGATCGACTGGCCCATTGATGTGTCTGGGTCTAGATCTAACTCTAACGATATGTAAGATACGTATAAGACAGGCAAACAAAAGATATTACCTGGCTACTGGTCAGACAGATGAGATGTAGAAATGTCTTCCCCGTTCTCTTTGTGGTAAAAAATACATTGTTCTCAACCTAGAGCCAGTTGAAGCTGTCTGCGAATTGTTATAACCATGATGTTTAGCTAAGTGAAGAGAAGACCGAAGTCGAGACAAATATGCAAGGTTGCCAGAACCCCACGACTTCCCGCGAAGTATTTGATTTCACTTTTTTCAATCAATTTCAACCAAGTTTACCTCGGGGTATTGTCTTTTGTTTTCCTTTTGTTGAGAGACCAATCGTTATTTACTTACCATCATCACAAACTCTATAATAGTTATAGCTAAAAACTGTTGTGTGAGAAAAGTAAATTACAAAATGCCAAAGAAATCTAAAAAATTCTGTTTTGAGAAAAACGCTAAAAATAATGCTACTTCCGTTGGTATGGCATAGTCCGAAAATTATCTAGAAGCAATACTTCTCGGATTAGATTTAACGTATTTCAATATCTAAAGAATAATTGTCATTTTTATCAAACAGCTTATAAAATGTTGTTGTATGGCGTGAAAAATAAATAGTGACAGTGTTATATTCAAAAGAGTAGTATATCAAATACAATAAAAAACATTTTGAATTGGCAAATCCGATCCACCTTTACCCTAGAGTGACATCCAAATTCACTCGCTCGGCCCATTATTTTTATTATTTTTTTATATTTTTATTGCCCATAATTTGTTCGTCCGCCTTGTTTGAACGCCTTCATTCTCTCCCC